GGGGGGGCAGGGTTTGATCCCTCAACCTTTTGCACAAAAATACAATACTTAACAACATTTTATTTGTAATTATTAGACATCATATTACTTATAATCAACAACTCAAATATGCTTAAGGGGGGTCGGGCCCTTACCCGCCCTAATCAAGATCCGCCCCTGAATATAACAATATGATAAACACTAACTTTTATAAGGAGTTACTCGGTTAATGTTACAAGGGTTACTCTATCAGTGTTATAAGAGTTATTCGGTCAGTGTTATAGGGGATACTTTATTCTCTTACAAGTGGTCACATGATATGGCCAACCACACCCAAAATGCGTTGAGCAATAATGTCTAGTGATAAAAATTAGTCATTAAGTTAATTGGTGCTAAAAATTAGCCATAAAAATTATGTGACTGCTTTATTTTTATTTTAATCCGTCACATATTATTTTAGTTTTATAGATGCACTTGGCTTAAAAGTATGCGTACACGCTACACGTAGATATACACCTAGATGTAAATTAGAAATTTCGCTACCTAAATAACAAATTCCTTTACGACCATTTGCCATACCATACAAAAGAAAACTTATTCAGAATTGAGAATGTAACTATAATAGGAGATAAAGTTGCATATTTACCTGATTGGTACCACCTCTAGCAAGGAAGGCTGAGTAGTCATTACCAACAAGACTAACATGAGCAATGGAATGTTGAAGGTCGGAAGGTGTGAAAGTGTTGTCGTTTAGAAGACGTTCGAAGAAATCGATCTGGGTTGTCATGTTAGGGTAAGGCGCCGTTGTATCAAAAACACCCGTGCCTCCGTAAGCAAAGTTCATTCCATATTTCAAATGGTTGTTTGCATATCTTCTAAATTTGTAGGCTACCGGTGACCTTATTCCTAAAGATTTAGCTGCATAAACATTGAAAAATCATGGAAACTAATTAGAAACGTTGTGTAATATTTTAATAAATCAATTCAAATTCCATTATGCAATGTTATTACTAATCTATGGGAGAAGGAATCAAAACACACACGTTAATTATGACCCGATATAAATTTCTATCTTATGGTGTAACCAAATGGGTGACAGTACTATTTTACTCTCTAGAAGAGGTTATAAGCCATGCCGAGCCTACTTGCCTCATTGGAAGAAGCTAGGCATGACGACCTAATTAAGTTTGCGTGTCACCATGTCATGTTGTGCTAGCATACCTAAGTTAAGCTATATTTGTGTGTTTTGTTTGTGTTGGATCATGTTATGTCATGTTTTATTGTACAGTTGTGCTTATGAGATTGGACATCTGGCCCACAACCTATCACGCACAATATTTTATTTTGGTTTTACCTGTCACGCACAATAATATATCACATTGTATGTTTTCTATATGAGGTCATGCACTGTCACGATTCGGCCTAGTCTACTGCCATCTCTACCCTCTTCTAGTGCAAATTTGAAATCTTGAATCTCTAAGCTAAGTACTATACATAGAGCTATGCCAAATTAAAAGACACCAAAAATGTAACTAACACTAGTTAGGGGAACGATTCATCATGACGAAGTGAGAAAACAAAGTATGTACTAAAAACTTTAGTTTAGTCGTTAGAAACGTTATAAAATAAAATCCAAACATAAATAAATGACATGGGACACATACATGACGAATCAATTAAATCAAAGTAACAAAAATGTAACGATATAAAGACATAAAGTAGTAAGGCTGAGGCACACCATATTTATATACATAAGTATATCTGTAAAGATGATGAAGAATCAAGGGGACCCCAATCATACAATTATTTACAGCGTTAAAGATATATGATCATATGACTAAGGACGTGGGTAAATAAAGATGGAATCTAACTCCACTAATACAATTTCATCTATCTATCATACTTTAAACTTTAAAGGGAATAAGGACGCCTACAAAAGGTATTATTGGAAATTTGGAACAAGCTAGGAAGAGAGGGGCTCCAACTTCACCAACTTAAACACAAAAGATAAAGATACCACTGAAAAAAAGAGAGGGTATTTGGGTAGTCTTTTCTCCTCTTTTGTTGACTAGTAATCATTTGTTACATCAACTTTATTGTTTATTTTTGTTCTCAAACTTATCTCTTGTGAAATATGAGGTGCAAAATATTAACAATATATAAAGAAGTTACTATATTGACTTAATTGAACCGATCAATCATCACCTAATCATCTTTAATTAGACCTGAATATCTGAGTTTTGAAATTTCAAGTTAAAGAGAATACACCCTAAACCACCCCACTTGTAAATTCTAATAGAAATTGGTGGAATGGTGGTAATGAGATTTTATTCAACACTCATGTAATTTTATAATACTCTAATAGTTTAAATGAATTTTTTAAGCTTTAAAAAATTAAATAAGGAGTTTAACTAATGTTTAATACTTGCCAAAAGTCAATTGTCCATGGCCATTAGCAAAATAAAGGAAAGTCTTTATCTAATATATAGATAAAGACATATAATTTGACTTCACTTTAACTAATATTGCAAAACGTTGTATTTAGCTAAAGAAGGTATTCGTATGTGACATTTGCACATACGCGACATGATTGACGATGACCGATATATATATACCAAGATGTACGTTTCCATCAATATTATTATATCATGATTAGTGACACTCATTTTGCTTAATAATATACTCAAAGTCTTATTAATGTCTTATTAGAAATTTGGAATTTAAAATAAAGCCAATGAAAGGGATTAGAGTGCTTGATTTAGCACAGGTATTAAGTACTAAGGAGCAAATAACATCATTGGTTAAAGTCTTAAGGGGTGATACTCAAGACATGAAATTAAATTGCGTTTACATCACTTGCCTTTGTAACTCTATCTACGCTAAATAAAAAAGTATTATTAAGGAGCAAGTCTGATTTAATGTTACATTTAATCAGCCTACATGGTTTAGGGTGTGTTCTATTCACCTGATTTTCACTTCTTTGAACTTATTAAACCTGAACTAAACTTATCTGAACTTATTATACTTGAAATAAGTGAAAATAAGGTGAACAGAACAGACCCTAAATCATAGTGTTTGATCGAATCTATTAATTTTGCAAAGCTCGGAATAGAAAAATTGTAACAAAAGTTCATCATTCATTCATTGTTTTGCCAATAGACTTCATATAATATAGCTAATTTAAACAGCATCAAACAAAATCAATATATTGATTAATAAATTTTAACATTATGATACGTTTTAACATTATTATTATTATTATTTTATTTTATTTTATTTTTTTGATATAACTTAAAATAAGATGAACAAAATAAGGCTTTAATAATTTATTTTTTAAAAAATTACTGAAAGTAAGATTAATTGAAAAACTTATAAAGTACGAGTAAAGCATACAAAAAGATACTCACTCCGAACCTTAATATTTGTCTCATTTAAAATATGTAGTTCATATGAGAAGTGGAATTTTGACCATTATTATTCATTGATAACCAAACAATTACCAAGTATATGTCACATATTATATATGTCACATATTATTGCTTAAAGACATATAATTTAAAGAAATTTGTCTAGGAAAAAAAATTAAAAAATAAAATCAAATATTTGTATGACAAACATTAAAAACGGAACGATTTGTAAACAACATATAAAAATTGGTATGATATCTCCCATTAATTAAACTACTTTTCCCTTGATCATCTCAAATATAATAACTAAAAAACTACTACGTAAAGGAGGAAATTTACATGTGCAAGTTAAGGAAAACTTTTAACAATAATAGATTAAATAGTGCACCATTTTCGAAAAGGGATGTAACTAATTTGACACGTAGCTAGTATAGAAGAAGTATTTGTGTCAAAAATTATGAAGAGGACAGAAGAAAATAATAAAAACGTACCAAGAAAATCAGTGAAAACACGACCATCCGAAAATCGTCCTGAAGGTTTGCCAGGAAATGTGATACCATATGGAATTTTCCATGATTGGCTGTTCGATATTCTGTTATTTCCTGTATCCGCATAGGAATCTCCGAACACAAACAGCTTTTCGTGGCGACGGTGGTGGTGGTGATGGTGGTGGCGCGAGGTGCTCTCTACCACTTCACTTCCTAATAATATAATAAAAAATAGTTGTTAGAGATAAAATACTACGTATAAAACCAAATCCTGACCTTCAACTATTAACTTAAGCTAAGCCGCACTAGTCTATTAAGGTTAAGGTTAGAGGTGAGGGACCTCAACCTAGAATAAACTTGAAATAAGATTAAAATTTTAGCTAAGGAGGTGAGAATCAAAACTCGACCTCTTGCTTGACCTCATGGTTAAGAGGTGGGAACTCGACTAGATAATTGAGCTCTCGCTTGATTCTCTACCAAACAAGAACGAGTGTACATATAATACAGTAAATAAGTTACGTACGTACCTAAGAGAAAAAAAATGGCGGAACAAAGGAAGAAGAAGGCAAATTGTGCCGGACCCATTGCAAATAACAAAGCAATAAACGAAGAATGAAATGTGTAATGCGATCGATGTTAGTTGTGGTCGTAAAAAAGGGGTGTGCTTTGAATCTTTACAAAAGTTATATATTTATAGTGCTTTCTGAATTAAAGCAAAAAAAAAGGAAAAAGAAAGTATTAGTTGTATCAAACCCATTTGCATGTACCTGGTGTACAGTATTTTTACTGTACATCGGGTTTTCGCACGTACTTTTTTTTAAAAAAAAAATCGCAGAATTTCAAATACCTAAAATAAAAAAAAACGCTGAACAACAATGGAGGAGAGAGAAAGTGAGAAAACACAGCTATCAATCATCCATTGAGGAGAGAGAAAGTGAGAAATCGCAAAAATTGCAGAAAACGAACATCAATCGAGGAGAAAAAAGGTTAGAAAACGCAAAAATTGCAGAAATCGATCATCAATCGAGGAGAAAAAAGGTGAGAAAACGCACAAATAGAAGAATTCGATCATCAATTAAGGACAAAGAAAGTGAGAAAACTTACAAATTGCAGAATTCGATCATCAATGGAGAATTCGACTTTCGATACAACAAATTGCAGCAATCTCATTCACGAATTGCTACAAAAACAGAGGCAAATTGAGACTGAATTTGAAATCGGTTTAAATCGATCGATTATAGAAGAAGAAGAAACTAATTGTTTTGGAGATGAATTCGTACCAATATTCAAAATCCAGACAATGCAGATGAAGCAATCGATAATGCGGATGAAGCAATTGAGAATGCAGAAGACGCAATTCATAATGCAGAAAATCAAGTGGTTCCTGATAAATCAATTGATTCAAATTCAGAACAAACAACCAAATCAGATGCAACTGAAGGTAATTTCTATGAATTTTTGAGATTGTATGGAAAAAGTAACCCTTTGAATACATAATTGTTACCCTTTTCATGCATAAACGTGACCATACTTATGCCTAAATGTTACCCTCAGATTGAATGCAGAACTTTTTAGATTGCATGCAAAAAGTAACCCTTTGAATGCCTAAATGTTACCCTTTTCATGCTTAAAAGTGACCCTATTTATGCTCAAATGTTACACTCAGATTGTATGCTGAAAATTCAGATTGTATGCAAAAAGTAACCCTTTGAATGCCTAAATGTTACCTTTTTCATGCATAAAAGTTACCCTACTTATGCTCAAATGTTGCACTCAGATTGTATGTAAAAAGTAACCCTTTCAATGCCTTAATGTTACCTTTTTCATGCATAAAAGTTACCCTATTTTCAAACGAATGTTACCCTTTTTTTTATGCTGTCTGTGGTTATTATCTGATTTGTTTGTATTAAATAACAGATACAAATCCAATTGATGCTTATGGTTTAGATCTTAGAGGATCATTTGTTGGTGTGGTAAGAGAAACTTTTGAAGAAATTTTGGAATTGTATGAAAAACATGCTGCTATACTGGGGTTTTCAATAAGAAAACATACAACTAGATTCAAACAACACACAAAAATAGTAACTGAGAAAAACTATGTGTGTTCTGCTGAGGGAAAGAGACATTCAGGTCAGAAGAAAACAAAGTTAGTTGAAATGGTTGATGAAGAGGATCCAAACTTCTTTTTTAGAGTGAAGTTTGACAAAGAAGGAAGAATTTGCAATATCTTTTGGAGAGATTCAATGATGCTAAAAGACTATAGGATATATGGAGATGTTCTTGTCTTTGATACAACATACAAAACCAACAGATATAATCTTATATGTGCTCCATTTGTTGGCATAAATAACCACTGGCATAATTGTATGTTTGCTTGTGCTTTTATTGGGGATGAAACGACAGATTCATTTGTGTGGTTATTACAAACCTTCTTCAAAGCTATGGAGGATAGAAAACCAACTTCAATATTCACTGACCAGGACCAAGCAATGGCAAATGCTATACTGGAGGTAAAAGATTTATATTGACATCTTACAGATTTGAGCTATGACAATAAAGTTTTCCTTTTTCACATAAAGTTACCCTTTTAGCTACATAAAGTTACCCTTTTTAGTGCATAAAGTAACCCTTTTAACAGCATAAAGTGACCCCTTTATTTTCAATGCAGGTGATTCCTAATACAAAACATAGACTTTGTATATGGCATTTGGAGCAAAATGCCATAACCAGATTTGGAGCTCTTAAAAAAGACAAAGAATTCAAATTTGCATTCAACCAGTGCTTAAAGATGTGTGTGACAGAACAAGAATTCGAAGCAAAGTGGCAAGCAATGTTGCAAAAATATGAGTTGACAGAACACTCTTGGTACAAAAGAGTGTATGAGTTGAAAGACAAACGGTGTCCTGCCCTTTGTAGAGATTTCTTTTCAGCAGGGATCTTATCGTCACAAAGGAGTGAAAGCACTAATCATGCCATAGGATTCAGATCAAGTAAAGCAACTACTTTGACAGAATTTTATACCATATTTAAGAAGACAACTAATCGTTGGAGAAGCACAGAGAAATATGATGAGTTTACCTGTAGCAAGTCAATAGCATTCACTTCATTGCCTCTATCTGGAATGCTAAAGCATGCTGCACAGGTAAAAAGTTAACTGACAAGTACATAAATTACACCTAATATATGGCAATTTAAATGAAGCTACATGATTTTGATGTACAGGTTTTCACTTTATCACTCTTTAGAAATTTTGAAGAGGAGTTTGGATACTCTATGGCAACAATTGTTCAGATGTTAGGCAGTAATGAAGAATGCCTACTTTATCAAGTAACACTAGAAGACAAGCCATGGTCTGCACATCAAGTAAACTGTATACAAGAGAGCCAAACTGTATGGTGTACGTGCAAAAACTTTGAAGCATCTGGATGGTTATGTTATCATTGCATCAGAATTCTACATTTGCATTCAGTAACAAGAATACCAGACAAGTATGTTTCAAAAAGATGGACTAAGTTTGCAAAAACAGAGGCATGGGATAGGTTGAAGAATCAGGATCCTAAACAGCAATATATTCCATGGAGGCAAACAATGATGAGGAAATACTACAATCTAATCTTAAAAAGTCAAGAAAATGAAGAGACAAGAGCATTTATGGAAGAAAGCTTCAGAAACAGTCTTAAAATGGTGGAAGACTTACTTGCTAGTGCTGCTCAGAAAGAAAGTGCAGAAGCTGCTTCTAACATTCCTGATGTGGCAGACAACACTCAAAGCAATACTGACGCTTCTTCAGCATCAAGTACAAGCACATGTGTACCAATAATTCTTGATCCTAAAAGGGCTGTAACAAAAGGAAGAAGAAAGAGAGCAAAAGGAGGACTTTAAAAAAGCAAGAGAAAAAGAAAACCAGCACTGCCACCTCCAAATTCAGAATTTGGATCAAAGACACCTAACTTACGACTCTTTTAAGATCTTTTTTAGAACATTTTTTTTTTCGAAATTAATATACCTTGTATTGTTAAACTATTTTTCTTTTGTTTTCTTACTCTATGACTAGTTTAATGAAAATGTGATTGACACTTTTATTAGCACATGTTTAATTATTGGAACACATCAACTTATGTTACCCTTTAACGTATAAAAGTAACCCTTTTCATGCATAAAAGTAACCCTTTTCATGCATAAAAGTGACCCTTTTCATGCATAAAAGTTATCCTTTCTATCCACTAAATCAACATTTTCTTTGGCAATAGTTACCCTTTCTGTTAATAAAAGTTAACCCTTTTATCAATAAAAGTTACCCTTTCCATGCATAAAATTTACACTATCTACCCACAAAAGTATACCTTATCATGTATAAACTTATTATTTCTACCCACAAAAGTAACCCTTTTTATCCTTTCTATCCACTAAATCAACCTTTTCTTTTCTAATAGTTACCCTTTCTGTTAATAAAAGTTACCCTTTTTATCACTAAAAGTTATCCTTTTCATGCATAAAACCCCTGACCCTTTTATTTTACAGAAAAAAGTGTCCCTTTTCATGAATAGAAGTGACCCTTTTTCTACATAAAAGTGACCCTTTTCATTGCTAAAATTACCATTTCTAACAATAAAATCTACCTTTTTCTATAAATAAAAGTTACCCTTTCTATAAATAAAATTTACCCTTTCTATAAATAAAAGTTACCCTTTTCTGCATAAAAGTTACCCCATAAAAAACATAAAAATAAACCTTTTAATTACTTTATGTATTCACATACATCAGTATTCCAAAAACAACTAAAGACTTTAAACTAAGTTTAATTACATCATTAAACTTAATGTATGCACATACATTAAGTTTTTTCATTGTTAAAAAAACCCCCTGAACTAATCAGCTAACAACTATCAATTATTTCACTATTTAGAAGGAGTAAACTTTTTTGCCTGCTTTTTTGCCCTTTTTCCTTTGTTCTTTTCCTCTTCTCCCTCTGCCTTTGCTTCTGCTTCTGCTGCCATTTTTCTTTCTTCTGTTTCTCTCTTCTTCTTTGCAGCAATTGCAGCCTTTAATCTTTCTTCAATTCCATTGACATAAGCAGGATCTTTCTTCTTCTCAATGAACTTGTGTAATTCTAACAACACATCGTTCCTAGATTCATTCAAATCACACAGTACCAGTGTGGTACAGATCTCTCCTCGTAAAAATTTCCTTCCATTAATCTCAAATCAGCAAAAAAAATAAAAATTATCAATATGTAATTAATAAAAGCAATAGAAAGGAAAAAACTACATAAACTATATAGATAATTACTGTTTTGAGATCATTGAATTTGAACGATTCACCAACAAAATGGAGCATGTGATACATGACAAAGACCCCACAGTCCAAATTGTCAACTTTTTCTTTTCTCCATTCCAACTCAACAACTTCAAAACCATAAGAAGGTAGCTGAGAACTCTTTGGATGATTTCTTTTGCCAAGAAAAGCACCCATTTGAACACACTGACATAAAATATAAAAGTTTAGAATACATTAAAATCAAAAAAGTTAAAATGGAAACAATGAATCAACAGTAACATAACAAAAAAAACAAACATAAACATACCATCTTTGAACACAATTCTTTTCTATAAACAAGAGCAGAATCAGTCCAGATAATGTTGTCAAGATAATATACCAACTCTTTTGTATGATCAATAACATACAAAATGTAGTGATTCTCAATAAGAACAGGAAAATAGATCTGAAACATCAAAATTAAAGAGATTTAAACAGAGCATATCATAAAGAGAACTCTTTTAAATTTATTACATTAAGTTTAGAATAAAAATACCAGATCAGCATCCATTATATTACATTCTGGATTCTCATAGCTAACCCAACCTTCCCATATGTCGTGCAAATCCTTAACAGCACTAGATATGTTACCTTTGCCAATATTGTCACAAACATGCAAGAATGAAAACTATTAAAGTATAAGATCTCAATAATATATATATAAAGTAAATGTGTTAAGATATAAAAAAAGGAATGAAATAACTTACACTCTGCCTAACACCGAAGAAGAATTTCCGAGGACCAGTAGCCTGAAAACATGCTTTCTCATTCAAATACAGACAGAAGCAATCAATAACGCACCATTGAATCCTGAGTGGAGCAACAAGGGACACCATGTCTTCTCTTGGAATTAAAAAGTTCATTCCAAAAGTAACAAGGCTCTCACTGAAACAATAAAAAATAAGATCAACATTAAAAAAAAAATATAAGAAAAAAAACAGATAAAAAAATAATTATAATAAAAAAGGACACTTAACTTCTTATCCATTGAAACATCCTTCAGCAAACAATAATCGAGAATTTCCAAATGTAACTGAGGCAAATTCTTGAAAATCCGAGCATTGCTCTTTACAAAAAGAGTTACAAAAGGCACCTGCATACCTACATGTCCACAGTCCAGAGAGCATAGAGATTTATTTGCTCTGAGTCGAGGAGGTTCATTTTGATCAATATGCCCGACAGGAATATTTTGAGTAGGACCAAGAATGATAGCAGAAGGTCCAGAACCATTAAGGCCTTCATTAACTATTTTTCCATGACCATTGTCATCATCCTTAGGAATATTTTCATTGAAATCTTGTGCAGGTTCTTTTTCAGGAACAAAATCTTTGTTACCTTCTGTAGGTTCATAAAAACCGCGAAACATATCATGTACAGACTTCATTTTATTACACTCATCAATTAAACCATCTAAAATCTTCAAATAATGAGGATCAGAGAGTAGCAGTTCAGTTTGAGAAACTGAAACAAAATCATCAGAAGATAATGAAACACTTCTGCGAGAAGTAATCAGATCATTCAAGGTTTGAAAACCAGTTGACTGAACAAATAATAAAACATCCATATTTCTTTTAAACAAAAGAAACGTTTCATGAACAACCTACAAACATATGAACAATGAAAAAAAAATGTTACAAATAAAAATAATAAAATAAGTAGGAATCTAATTCCATTAAACTAAACATATAAGAAAACAGAACACTTACATCAGTTGAAATTTTTTTAATTTCTTCATCGGTCATAATACCTTCTGGAAGCTCAAATGCAACAATGCGACCAGTGGTACCATTTGTAGAAGGACCCTTATCATAACCCAAAGTAGGAGCTGGCTTAAAAACAGTTCCCCTAAAATTAAGCTATGACACAGGATATGTAATAGTATCCAATGGTCCCTGCCCATAACCACCAGCTTTGATCTCTAACTTAATTCTCTTCTTAATCTTTACATCCGTCCAATGTTGAATTAAAGGAAGAGTACTACTTTCCTTTTCACCTTGAAAATTTAGACGATGAAAATACATAATTTACAAAGCCAGCAAACAACCACTAACATTTTGAGCATTTTCATCATCCTTATACTTCTGAACAACCTTCTTTAACTTTTTTAAAACATATGAACACCAATCAAAAGTTTTAATTTCATCAACTTTTTCAAGCTTTCAGCAACTTCAATGAAACAGTCCTATTAGTAGTAGGAGCTAAAAAGCTAGACATAGCTTGAAGAACAAAACACCTCTTAAATTCTTCCCCTCCATCAACCAAATCAACCATCCTAGACTCCAATTTTGACAAATGAAGAGGTTGCTTACCAGATTGACCATAATCAGATCTCCATGCCTGAATGATACGTTTATCTACACTTTCATCTTCAGAATTTTTATTAAGTTCAGGAACACAAATATCACTCAAAGGCAAGCAAAACACATCGCATATATCATTTCTAGTAACAACAAATTCTTTACCAGTAGTGATGGTAAACATGCAGCTACCAGCATTGAAGTTTTCAACAAGCCAAGGTAGCATTTGACGATTAAGAGTTTTCAATTTAAGATGTAATAAACCTCCGAAACCAATTTCTTCAACAGCCTGTTTTTGCTCAGGACTAAAGTTCTGCAGCAATATTTCCAATGAATAGGGTCTGCATCTTGCAATGATTCTTCTTTGCTCCCTAAATAGAAAAAAAAAGAAAGAAAATGTAACTAAAACAATATAAAATAAAAACAAAATATAATTAAAAATGTAATAAAAAAATATGTATACTTACATAACAGATTCAGAATCAGATTCAGAAAGCATTTCATAATCAGAATCTTCCACTGTATTAGCTTTCTTAGGTACAATTTTGGCCTTCTTAGGAACTATTTTGGCCTTCTCAGACTCTGGTTTGTCACTCTCAGGAATTTTCCCAGCCTTTTTAGATACTGCTTTGCTCTTCTTAGGAGCTATCTGGGTCTTTTTTGGTACTGGTTTAGGCTTAGCAGGCTCTTTAGGCTTTCCTTTTCCTTTTGTAGGCTTTTTATAACGATAACCACCTATTGAACCACCTGTATTTAATTATTAAAGTAATATAAATACAAATTCAGAAATTACTCATGGAAAAATATAGAATAATGTGCACAAATGACACTTTTAAATGCATAAAGTGACCCTTTTAACAGCACAAAGTAACTCTTTTAACAGCACAAAGTGACCCTTCTTTTAACAGCACAAAGTGACCCTTTTAACAGCATAAAGTGACCCTTTTAACAGCATAAAGTGACCCTTTTATATGCAAAAAGTGACCCTTTTAACTGAAAAAGTTATTCATTTAACAACATACACTGACTCTTTTCACAGCATAAAGTGACCCTTTTAACATCACAAAGTGACCCTTTTAACATCACAAAGTGACCCTTTTAACAGCATAAAGTGACCCTTTTGTATGCATAAAGTGACCCTTTTGTATGCATAAAGTGACCCTTTTATATGCAAAAAGTGACCCTTTTTTTGCAAAAAGTGACCCTTTTAACTGAAAAAGTTAATCATTTAACAACATATAGTGACTCTTTTAACAGCATAAAGTCACC